GAGTGCACTCATGAATTTATAGTCTGTCAATACCGAACTGACCAACGGAAATGGATCCTTGATTATATTTTCACCAATCACTGAAATAAACAAATAACCATCTCACAAATAAGCCGTGCCACAAATAACTTCTTAACAAAAATTATAACTCAACAATAATAAAATTCAAAACAGACCATTTGTGACAGTGCCGTCTGTATTAAACATACTCGCTCTCCACAGAACAGCAAACGATAAACTCAATAAAGACTTGTTATTCACGGAATCCATCGAATAGTTATTGAAATCATTGTTTGCAATTGGCGACGAAGGCCACTCAAAGCTGATGTTATCATCGTTGATATCCGAATTATTGTTAGTAATATAAATAAGGTTCGTTAACGAATTATTGACGTTGTTCGACGATACAATAAAGCAATAATTGTCCATTTGTTCACATTCCAAATGAACTGAAATGTACTTGGTTTTGTTATTTTCACGATCGAGATGATTCAAAACTGAAAGCAACTGAAACGAGCCATTTCGATTTCGAATGGTACGCAGAAAGACGTTCGGTGGTGTAGATGAATGTCTAAGGTCGGTGTTGACGATGGATTTGATGCGAATCAACTCGACATTCGCGATCAGCTGTGAGTTGCGTTTCGATATCAGATTGGTGGCACTCAGCACGCAAATACCGTTCGACTCATCCACCATCCTACAAATTCACTCCTCGTTACAACGCAATCACCCAATCACCAAAGCAATCATCACCTCATTGAAGTGCTCAACACAGCACGTGTATCCACCGATAGCGTCTGCCTCTGCTCCCTGTACATTCCATTATCACCCACATAAAACAACAACAAGCATATTCTGTACCCTTTCACTTCTTCCGAAGGTGATCGCACTGCTATTCTAATCCTGATATTATCATTATTATTATTATCATTAACATCATTTCCACGACAATAACAAACCAACCGTCTTCTTTGTCCAATTGCAATGTGATCATTTCCAACTGGCTTAAAAAGCAATATGTTGCGATTTATGGGTGACAAACAATGCTCCATAGAGATCCACTTGAAGGCACCACTATGCGAATCATCTCCATCAAAAACATTGATCAAATCGAACTGATTCGTCGCAATACAAAACGACTGAACAGGTACACTGCCGATATTGATCAGATCACAGTCGACATAGCTGATCTGATTGCAATAGGTTTGCATAATGGACGATGATGGTTGAATCATCTCAGTTTCCAGTAAAGGCCATCTCTTTGCACTAATGGACACATTCAAACGTTCGTCCTTGCCATAGAGCACCTTGATTAGTTGTCATTAGGATAGCTCCCCTTTCCATAAACAAACAGTACCTGTTTGCTGGCAGTAGCAGTGCAGAGTCGTGCTCCACGAAGCGATAACGCAATCTGAGCGGTGACACACAACGTCTCAACAACCACATCGAACACAACCGACGTTACATGCACTTCAGTCACCTCATCGCTCGGTATCACATACAACTGAACATCGTCCACTCGTTGCTTTGGTTCTAACACCAACTTAAACTTCCATTATTAATATTCGATGATCAATAAAAACAAAAATCACCAACCTCATCAATAGAACTCAACTCCAACAGATCTGTATCATTCCTTAAGCCCAGATGTATGTTCTTAAGTGTCAGTGATATATCGAATGGATTTTGGAATTCGAATTGGAAACGCAAACGTTCGAATGGCGGTGTGCAACGCATCTCAAATTACTTTTTGTTATACAGCAGTGTTATTATACAATTACACTGATAAATAATAACAGTAATAATAATACCAATAATAATAACCTCCGAATTATCGGTAGTCGAGTCGGAAACAAGAGGTGTTGACTTGAAGTTAAGTGAAGAACCGTTCAGTTTATTGTAAGCAGCAAGTTCGACATCTTTCCAGTTGATGGTATCCTTGAATAGAGTGCAATGAATGCAAATGCCACACCGCATTGACTGTGAACAACAAACCTTGTGATCATCAGAGCACGATCGCAGCGGTCGATCACCGTGAATGACGATCACGTTTTGTGATTTGATAAATGGAATATCAATCAGAGGTATATTATTGTTATCATCAAGCGCATAGCTCTTCAACAGATACAAATACAACTTAATAAATGTCAACTGTTGATCTGCATCTTGCTGTTGGCTTGTCCACAACGACTTTATGATTTCACTGCACCACTCTAAGGCTTCTCTTAACGATGTGCAGTTGTTAGATTCACTCGCCAACTTATACAACAAATGATCCTAGAATAACAACTATTACTGTTACTATCATAACAGTAAATTTAGAATAATCGTAACGACACCTCAGCAAAAGACCACTGCTTATGAAGGAATAAGGGCAGTGCGTTCCGATAGCAGTCGAACGATAATTTGAAAAGACCGCATTTGAAGAAGCGATGACCGGCCAATATGTAATGAAATGCCATTTTGCGGGGCATATTGCCCTTGGAAAACATCTCCGAGGCACGCATCTCCAACATACCACTCAACAGATCATTCTCCTTAATCCATTGATGAACTTATGATCGCACTTATACAATTGCAATTGCAATCACAACTAACCATATTAGCAAGTCGTAATAGTTGTGATGCAGCCTCAATATTCAAATCAATTGAATCCAAAATCACTGAATTCAACAAGGCAGCTCTAACACCCAACAATGGCCGTCTGAATTACATTATCTTTATTATTATTATTGAATATTCGATTATGAATTCAGTGAACAATAAGTAAATAAACGCACAAACACGTGTTTGTATAATATTCAATTGCATTCTCCATATAACGTTGAGGATATTGGTTCAAATTTGTATTACTGAGATAATACGTTATTGCGGCCATTTCCTAAAAAAGCACTCATAAGAACTGCACTCATTATGAAGGAGCACTCATAGAAAAATAAAACTAACTAAAGCACCAGCATAATATAACCCGGCTTGATCCAACGCAAACTCCTTCTTGATGCTCTGATAAATTTGATACGCAAACGAATATAAACCGAACATGAAGCACATATCTGCTAGACGTCTCGTCTGCATCTCGTTGCTTTCTTGTGAATAACTGCAATTATCTACAGTTGCAGTCAGTCAGATGAATGGCTATTCGGCAATACCTGATATTGGACTGTGGTTGAGTGTTCGCACTGAACAACTTCCTAACACCGGTCGTCAACGATCTGCTAAGGCCACGTCTTGCGTTGATCTGTTCGTTGAGTAGTTTGAGTTGTTTCTCGACGAAAGGGATTATGCACTGTTTTAGCATGGTCTCGAGGAAGTTTTGAATGCAGTCGCGATCCTCTTTAGTCAGCATCGTGCCGTGTTGTTTCACTGGTGTTGTTAGGGGGAGATCACTCAACGACGGGACACTGCTTGAGTCCAGCGTTGCGTCTTTACTGTACGCATTAATCTTCGACAGCACACTCCTCCTGGCCAACTCCAAACCCCTCTCCAAGCCGCGATATTTCACATCCAAGCATGACTGCCATGGATCGGGCAGTTTATCGTCATTGCCCTCACCTGAATTTACCCGTAACAAATGACAATTCGCATCGCCATATTCTGCACACACCGACGAGTACACCTCATTTGCTCTGCAAATTGTCGCCGATTATTTTCGCGGACATCACTTCAGACAATCGAATCGTATAGATCAACAACCTTATCTCATCGCCGTTCGAGACGTCATC